TTGCTTTCTCTCTCTCTCCTCTCTCTCTTTCTTTCTCTGTCTCTGTCTCTCTCGACAAATTAAAATACATAAATGAATAAAGTTAAATAATTCTTTTTTTAAGAATTATTTTTAATTAATTTTATTTATTCATTCATTTTATTTTAATTTGACCAGAGGGAGTGAGAGAGAGAGAGGGAGAGAAAGTGAGAAGGGAAGCCTTTTCAGGTTGAATTGAAACTCTAAACCTGAGCCTTCCATGTGGTCCCAGCCTGAAGAGCAAGCATCTTAGCTGTGTATGCCTAGGCCTCATTATATACTCTTGTATTAGTTTTGTGCTGTTGTGTTATTGGGTTGTGGTTTCTGTTTTAATGATATATATAGTTGCCCTAAACATTTTTGGGGACTTAGAAATTACTGTTGGAATTCTAGTTTTAGGACTTTAAGTACATATGACTACAATTTTTCTAAGTGCTTTAATTATAAAGTAGTCTATATAGATGATAAGTGAATCAAATAATACTTTGATCTGCAAAAAACATAAAAAGATACTTTATTGGGTTGTTGGAAAAGTATTGATCCATTTAGAAAAAATACATCTTGACTTTCCTGACAACCCCATAGTAAATGCTTTAGATAAAAATGACCTTTTTGGACTAAGGTACCTCCCATTCTTTTATACATAGATTTCCAAAGTGAATAGACTAAACTTTTAACTCAAAAATGACTTTTAAAATAATTGTAAATACGGGGGGGCTGGCAGGTGGCGTGGTGGTTAAAGGCACTGGACTCCCACATGGCCAACCACAGTTCGAGTCCCAGACATGGAAAATTGCTTTCTCACTTTCTCTCTCTCAGTCACTCTATCCCTCTCTGGTCAAATTTAAATAAATGGATAAATAAAATAAAATAAAATAATTTAATAATAATAATCATAATCGCAAATAAGGGCCAGCCCTGCAGTGCAGACAGTAAGCACTGTGCATTGGGAGCTGGACCCCAAATTGCAGAGCATGGTTTGAATCCCAGCTTTTAGCTTAAAAAAAGAATGGCTAGGCAGCCTGCAGGTGGCATGATGGTTAAGGCGTTGGACTCTCACATGGTTGACCATGGTTCCTGGACCTGGAGGCTTGTTTTCTCGCTCTCCCTCTTTCTCTTTCTCTCCTGTGTCTCTCTGGTCAAACTAAAGAAGAATATTAAATAAATAAAATTACAAGACTGGCAGCTAGTGTGGTAGTTAAGGTGTTGGACTCCCACATGGCCTCTCACGGTTTGAGTCCTAGACCTGGTGGCTTGCTTTCTCACTTTTCCTTTCTCTTTTCCTCTCTCTGGTCAAAATTTTAAAAATAATACTAACAAAATTAAATAATTTTAAAATATAATAAAGAATAAGAATTTTAAAATTATATTAAATAAATAATTATTTTTTAAAAAGAATGGCTGGCTGGGTACTAACAGATGGCATAATGGTTATGTTGCTAGACTCCCACATAGTCGACCACATTTGGAGTCCCAGGCTCCTACTGTGCGTGTGTGCGTGTGTGTGTGTGTGTGTGTGTGTGCATGCGTGCACATGCCCAAAATCCCAAGAGGAAAATGGAGAAGGGTTTACGGCATGGCCATCCTCCCTAGGGAAACTTTCTGTCTCTCTGGCTCTCCAGTGAGCATACATGCCTTGTAGCAACAATCTCTTTTTAAAAAAAATAAGAGCATGTTGTATATGTGCGTGCTCACAGATGTACACGTACACAGTCAAAATTCTGATGGGATAGAGAAATGGAAGTGAAAGGATTATGTCATGACTATGCCTCATTGGGGGTGCTTTCTCTCTTTTTCTCTTGGGCAAGCTACAGGCCCACTGACAAAACAAAAAGTCACAAATGAGAAAGGATTTTGGAAAGAATACATTTATATATACTAAGGTTGTTCATTTCAAAGTAAGTGCCATGTCTCCAAATGCCTGATGATTGCTGTACCCTCCATCAGCACTGTAATAATCAGACATTAGTATTTTCTACTCTGAAACATTGTGGATAAAAGTTGACTCTGGAAGCTGGCAGCAGTGGCACAGCGATAGTGTACTGCTCTCTGATTCTGGACCTACTTGGGAAGATCTTGGATTTGTGCGCAGAGGTCTCCTTGTACACATCAGGTTGTGTGAGGATGCCTGAGATCCAGGTTGGCTGAGGCTGAGGCTGAGGGTGGATCATGGTATGGACACTCAATTGGGGGGACTTGTTTCTCCTTCTCTCTTTCTGTGTTTCTCTGTCATGGAATAAATTTAAAAAATAAAAATAAAGTGAAAAAAATTAAAAAAAAGGGGGAACCAGCAGTTAGCGTAATGGCTATGTCGCTGGACTCCCACGTAGTCGACCCCGGTTCATGTCCCGGGCCTGGGGGCTTAAAACT